GACGACGCTGCTCTCCGCCCGCCGCGATTCTCTCGCCTCACGTGCCCGTCAGCACAAGAGGACCGTGAGTGCGTGAATATATTCACCGCCTGCACGAAGAAAAAAAAGGAAAAAAGCGATTACCCTCACGCACAGTCACGCATCACGTTTGCGCCTCACGGTGGCCGCGGCCTCGTGCCTCATTTCTGTGAGCCGCACCGCCACGCAGGCCGGCACCGCGGGTGTGTGTGTGTGCGTGTGCCCCTCACCATTTAGCCAGCAGCACAGAGAAGGGCATCCGCGAGTAGGAGCACGAGAGATGCACGCACCCACACCCACACATTCCCTTTGCTTTCTACGCACCCGCATCCCTCCCTCCCTTGTCCCGTTCCTACCGCTATTGCTACGGACATGCTGCCACGACGTGCTTACGAGGCTTAGTTCCAGTTGCGCACAATTTTGCCGTCCCAGTTGAGTTTGTCGCCCTTTTGCATCGTGTAGTAGCGGTGCGTCTTCCAGCGCCGCCAGGGTGAACCGGCCTTGCCCCAGTGCGGGTTCGCCTCCCAGTAGCGCTCAATGCGCTCCTCTAGCATGGGCGTGAAGTGCCGTGCGAGGCCCTGCACCGGCCACGCCGCGGCCGTCGCCAGCGCACAAATCGTGCGCCCCTGCAGCTGCTTCGAGACGTCGAGCATGGTGCCGATCTCCTCCTTCTTGGCGTTGCCGAGCACGAAGCGCCGCATCATTTTTTCCAGCCACGGGGAACCCTCGCGGCAGGGAGCACACTGCCCGCAGGACTCGCGGGCGTAGAACTGCGAGAGGCGGTGGATGGCCGCGATGAGGTCGGTCGACTTGTCCATGACGATCACCGCGGCCGTGCCGAGGCCCGTGTGCACCTCCTTCAGCGCGTCGTAGTCCATGAGGACGGTGTCGCAGACGCTCTTTGGGATGAGCGGGCAGGAGGAGCCGCCGGGGATGACGGCGAGGAGGTTGTCCCACCCGCCCCGCACCCCGCCCGCGTGGCGCTCGAGGAGGTCGCGCAGCGGGATGCTCATCTCCTCCTCCACCGTGCACGGGCGGTTGACGTGGCCGCAGATGCAGAAGAGCTTCACGCCGGCGTTGTTCTTGCGCCCGAACGACGCGAACCACTGCGGCCCGCGGCGGAGGATCGTCGGGGAGACGGCGACCGTCTCGACGTTTGTCACCGTCGTGGGGCAGCCGAAGAGGCCCACGTTGGCCGGGAACGGCGGCTTCAGCCGCGGCTTCCCGGGGCCGCCCTCGAGGCTCGACAGCATCGCCGTCTCCTCGCCGCAGATGTAGGCGCCGGCGCCGCGGTAGGTGTAGAGGTCGAAGTCGTACCCGCTGCCGCAGGCGTTGCGGCCGAGGTACCCCCGCGCGTACGCCTCCCGGATCGCCCGCTCCACGCTGCGCCACTCGTTGTAGAACTCGCCGCGGATGTAGATGTAGCCGTAGCGGGCCCGCATCGCAAAGCCGGCGATGAGGGCGCCCTCGACCAACTTGTGTGGCTCGTGCCGCATAATCTCGCGGTCCTTGCAGGTCCCCGGCTCCGACTCGTCGCCGTTCACGACGAGGTAGCTGGGGCGCCCGTCCGGCTTCACCTTGGGCATGAAGGACCACTTGAGGCCGGAGGGGAAGCCGGCGCCGCCGCGCCCCCGCAGCCCGCTCGCCTTCATCTCCGCAATCACCCAGTCGGGCCCCTTCAGCAGCAGGTCCTTCGTGCGGTACCAGTCGCCGCGCCGCTCCGCGCTGGTGACGTCGGTGCCGAAGTCGTCGTACAAATTAACAAAAATGCGGTCCGCGTCCCGCAGCCCGCCGTGCGTCTTCTCCAGCACCGCCGCGGTCGAGGCGAAGAGGCCTGCGCGGCGGAGCATCACTGCGCGGCGGGTGTCTGCAAAACCCCCTTCGCCGCCGCCGCTAAAAACGACTGCCAGAACGACTGCGAGGACGACTACTGGCCCCGGCAGCCGCGTCCCTACTTTTTTTTCTTTTTCGGCTGCTACTACGAATCTACACAACTCCCGCTGCGGCTGAGCGACGGAGGTGGGCGCCCCGCGCGTACGCGTGCGTGTGCCGCGGCGGGGCGCAGTCCCAATAGCCACGCGAGAGGAGAAGGATGAGAAGTAGAAGGCAAGCAAGTAACGCAAAGAAGCGAGGCACGGCAAAAGCGTGGAGCAGCGTCATCGCCCCCTCCACTCTCTTCTCTCCTCTCCTCTTTCTGCCTGGCCGCGTGCAGCGAGGCATTCGTGCGGCCGCCGCCCGCTCCCCCCATGTCCCCTTTTCACGTCACCTCCCTACGCCTCCTCCTCGCCGGCCGCGGCCTTCTCCGGCCGCTTGTTTATGCCGCGTGCGAGCTCCACCGACTGGCACAGGTGAAACCGTTCCGTTAGCTCCACGCACTGCGGGTCCCAAAAGCCGCGCTCCTCGATGCACGCCTGCGCCTCCGCCCGCATCTCTACGCACTTCGCCACCTCCGTCTGTTCCCGCAGCCGCTCCTTGAACTTCTCCGGCACCTCCTCCCAGGGCATCTGCCGCCCGTTGCCGATGCTGTACGGCGTGCCGCCGCCCTTCACCACAACCATCCCCCTCTGCGCACGAGCGCAGGCGCCAGCGGCCGGGGAAGCAGCGGCAGCAGCAGAAGAACTAAGAAAAAGAGGAGGATGAGGAGGAGGGAAAACGCGGCGAGAGGCCGCGCCCCGGCACACACGCACGCACGCCAGCGGGCGAGAGGGGCAGCCCACAAGGCGCATGCACGTCCGCGGTGGGGAGTAGAAGCAGGAATTGTACGACACAGCAAATAAACACTTGAACAAAAAAAAGAATACATTTTCCCCCTCCCCTCTCTTTTTTTTGTCTTCCCTCATTGAATAAACCCTCCAGTCCCAACCAGCCACTTGCACATGACGATTTGCCACCTCCGCGATGCCTCGTTATTTCTTTATTATTTCATACGCTTCACTTCTTTCCTTCCTTCTTGCCCTTCCCCTTTTTTTTTGGCCGGCGGTGAGAGAGCTGCTGTTTTCCTCCTCTTCTTCCCTTTTTTCCTTCGTTTCTTTTTCCTCCCTTCTTTGTATATATATATATATATACTTTTTGCCTCTTCCCCTTCCTTCCCCGCCCAGGCAGTGCGTTACTGCTCCCACGGCTCCCTACCAACTGCCACAGCGGCTGTGGCCGACGCACCTGCCCGCGGTTGGAGACGGGCAGGCAGATATATAGACAGATATACGTGTCTCGTCCTCTCTCTCTCTCTCTCGCACAGACAGAGCAGAGCAGGGCAGAGCGGCAGCGAGAGGGAAAAGGGAAAAAGGGGGGTAGGCGTTTGTTTGTGTCGGTGCGCATGCGCCGTGCCTCCCCTCGTTCACTCCCTCCCCTCCCACCGCCTCTCGCCCCGCATGTTTATACACTCCGACGTAAGTGCATGCACACACACACACACAAATGCACAGGCGGAGAGGCGGGGAGAAAAGGCACCCAGCGGGTCACCGCTCGTCTCTTTCTCTCGTTTTTTTTCTTTTCTTTTTTGATCTCCCGCCTGCGCGCCCCGGCGACTATTTGCGCCCCGCGGCGGGGCCGCGAGAGAACAAAAAAAGAAGAGAAGAAAGAGAAAAAGACGACGAGCGGCGGCTTCCCGCACAATTTTGCGCGCGGGGCCTCCGACGTCGCTGGGGGGGCCCCTCCCCCTCCCCCCGGCTGTGCGTGCGGGGCGTGCGGAGAAGCCCGCCGCACGCGCCCAAAACAAAAACAAAACAAAAAAAAGAAGGGGGAAAACTGCGGGCGTGTGAGGGGGAACCGGCGGACGTGCCAAAGACTCATGCGGCGTCGTGAAACCGCCTAAAAGCAAGTAAAAAAAAAACGTAAAATTATAGTTATTGCAGAAAAAAGGAGGTCACGTAAAAATGAAAGGGACAACCAAAAAAAAAAGAAGGACGACCACCAGCAAAAACAACGACAAGGACGAAGACGACGGCACGATTCGTGTCTGTGCGTGTGTGCATATGTATATATACAGATACAGACAGGCTCAGGTAGATGTACATCTGCGCGTGCCTTGCGTGCCGCCGTGCCGCTCCTGCTGCTGCCGCTGCTGCTGTTGTTGTGGTGGTGGTGGTCGAATGCCTCCGCCGCCCTCCTCGCGGCCGTCCCTCCTCCGCTGCGCTTCACGAGTCTCTTTTTTGCGGCACTCCGGGGCTTCGCCTCTCGCCCCCGCCCCCCACTCCCCCCCTCCGCACCTCCAGCCCTCCTCCTCCTCCTCCTCCTTTTCCTCCTCCCCCTGCGTTTATTTTCTTCTCTCGTCATTTCTTCCTTTTCGGGAACTTTTTCTCTTTTTGTTTCCTGCTGCTGTTTTTTTTTACATCCCCCCTCCTCCTTTTCTTCTCTTCGTTTTTCTTTTCTCTTTTTTTGTTGTTGTTTGTTTTTGCTGTTCTTTCGGTGCCGCTTTGCTTTTGCCCGCCGCCGTGGCGTTTTCCCTCGCGGTGGCGTGCGGCGTGCCGGCAAAACGACGGCGCCAAACAAACAAACAAACACACACACGCAGGGAGGGAGGGAGGAGGAAAAGAAAAACACACAAACAAAATAAAAGCACTTCTCACATGTTTCCCGCCTTTTTTTTTCTTTCTTCTTCTTTTCCTCCTTTTTTTTCTTTTTCCTTAACTTTTTTTTATTCTTCTACGTGCCGCCGCCGCCGCCGCCTCCTCCGGGTGCCTCCGGGGGCGCTAGACATGCGTGCGTGCCGGCGCGCGCTTCCTCCTCCGCCTGGTGAAGGGGGTGGATTCCGCCGCCGGTTGCCTGCACGCACCCCGCAGCGGCACAACACACGCCCGGAGAGTCTGGCGCTTGCGCTGCGTGTCCGGAGGTGCGTGGGGAGGGGGGGGGCTCACGCGAGCTTCGCCGCCGCCGCCGCGCTCACGAGGCGGGCGCTCTTGGCGCGCCACATCGTGACGTAGCAGACCGCCCCCGCCATCGTCATGCAGGCGCTCATGAAGACGCAGACGAAGGTGTAGTTGCCGTGGTAGCGCTGCTGCAGCTCGGCCTGGATGGGCGGGGCGGAGAAGCCGCCGACGACGCCGGCGAGGAAGACGGAGCCCATGTAGAAGCCGAGGTTTGGCCCGTGCAGCCGCTCCGCAATGAGGGCCGGCATGACGGCAAACATGCCCGCCATGCAGAAGCCAATGACGCAGAGGAGCAGAGCAAAGGCGACGTAGCTGCGGCAGAAGGCCAGAAAAGCCGCAGAACACGCCCCCCACGGTGGCGCACGTGACGTAGGCAAACTCGTTCGTCGTGCTGGTCGCAAGCCAGCCGACGAGGACGGAGCCGACGATTTGAAACACGCCGTAGAAGGTGAAGAGGGTGGAGGCAACGTCGGTGGGGATCGGCTTCTCCGTCGCGTAGACGGTGCCGACCTTGCCCATCGACGACACGTACGGCACGGCCACGTAGATCAGCGAGTAGAAGGCCCAGCTGAAGATGAGCCAGCAAAAGAAGTTGCCCATGAAGGCCCGCGAGAAGACGCTGAGAAAGAGCTCCCACGGCGTCAGCTTGTGTGTGTGCAGGCTGCGGCGCGCGGAGGCCGCCTCGATGTCGCCGGGGTTGTCGCCCACGGGGGGGTTGTGCACCGCCGCCTCTCCCTCTTGCGACTGCTGCCGCTGCTCCTCCTCCGCGTGCTGCGGCTCGTTGTCGTCGTGACGACGCTGCTCTCCGCCCGCCGCGATTCTCTCGCCTCACGTGCCCATCAGCACAAGAGGACCGTGAGTGCGTGAATATATTCACCGCCTGCACGAAGAAAAAAAAAAGGGAAAAAGCGATTGCCGGGTCGCACAGTCACGCATCACGTTTGCGCCTCACGGTGGCCGCGGCCTCGTGCCTCATTTCTGTGAGCCGCACCGCCACGCGGCCGGCGCCGCGGGTGTGTGTGTGTGCGTGTGCCCCTCACCATTTAGCCAGCAGCACAGAGAAGGGCATCCGCGAGTAGGAGCACGAGAGATGCACGCACCCACACCCACACATTCCCTTTGCTTTCTACGCACCCGCATCCCTCCCTCCCTTGTCCCGTTCCTACCGCTATTGCTACGGACATGCTGCCACGACGTGCTTACGAGGCTTAGTTCCAGTTGC